AAAAATGATTCAAAAAATACTCACATACCATTCTTTTTTTGGATCTACAATACTTACAGTTGCATCAAATGTATCTTCGTCAGGATCAACCGAAAATGTTCCAGGATCAAGTAAAAGATCTTGTTGATCACCTCGTGTTATCATAGATGTTCCTAATTGAACAAGATTTGCTGTTATACCTGTTGCCGTTATTCTTACATAAACTGAAGATGATGATTTTAAATTTGGTGAATCAATCATTTTTACAGTTAATGTTAGTTGATAAACACCATAAGCAAGAGTTCTTGATGGAATATAAAATTCACTATATGTTGTCATAACTTTTTCGTTTAATACAATTTCAAATGAACATCTAGTTGAAGTACAATTCTTTATTGTCCATTTAGTAGTTTTTGAAAGTGAACCATCACAATTAAATTGAATCATCGAACTAATAGAAAAATCTTGACTACGTCGATATGACATTGGGGATGATAGAGATGATTGTCCAGGAATCAATGTAATCGTCGGTGAATAACAAGCTAATTTAGAAAAAAAAGTCGGTAAACTATTTTTTATATTATTCATATTATTACTTTCATTGATATTTAATCCTTGAGAAGTTGTCATGAATGTTGCGCTTGAAATTATTGTTGAGTCTTTTACTGTTGAAATAAATTCATCTAAGAATAATGATTAATCAAAAATTGACAAAAATGCTCTGATTAGTTTACCTTTGTGAACTTGTGTTGTGCTTTCAGCATCAGTCGTTTGGATAATACTTGTGGTACTGCTACTGCTAGTAGTGGTGCTACTCGAAGTGCTGCTACTACTGGTAGTGGTACTACTTGATGTACTACTGCTTGTGGTGGTCGTGGTAATAGTGCTACTTGTTGTAGTACTAGTGGTGGTGATAGTAGTAGTAGTACTACTACTTGAAGTACTGCTACTGCTTGTTTTGGTACTAGTGGTAGTAGTGGTGCTACTTGTGGTGCTGCTGCTACTTGTTGTAGTACTTGTGGTGGTGGTAGTAGTAGTACTGCTAGTGGTGGTCGTGGTAGTAGTGCTACTTGTAGTACTGCTGGTCGTAGTGGTAGTGGTAGTGGTAGTGGTAGTAGTAGTACTTGAAGTACTGCTACTACTTGTAGTGGTGCTACTTGAGGTACTACTGCTTGTGGTGCTGCTACTGCTTGTTGTAGTACTGCTAGTGGTGGTGGTAGTAGAAGTGCTACTTGTGGTACTACTGCTGCTCGTGGTAGTACTACTTGTGGTACTGCTGCTACTTGTTGTAGTACTAGTGGTAGTAGTCGTGCTACTTGAAGTAATGCTGCTGCTCGTAGTAGTACTACTGCTAGTGGAGGTCGTGGTAGTAGTGCTACTTGTAGTACTGCTGCTTGTGGTACTGGTAGTAGTACTACTGGTGGTACTGCTACTACTCGTCGTAGTACTGCTA